CGTCGGGGGCCGAAGCGGCGGCGGGCAGGTGTGGTGGCAGGGCGTGCCCGGGCCTCCTCCCGCCTTTCTGGGGCGGGAAGAGCTCTCCCTCAGGCGCCGGGTTCGCGCCGCGGTTCTCTTCCGAAGGGGCGTGAGGCCGGGAGGCAGCAGGGGCGGGTGGCGCCGGGGGGTTGCTGGGGCCGGCGGCCGGGAGGCGAAGAAGGTTTTTAGCAGCCGGAGGAGTTTGGCGGAAGGCGGCGGGGGACTGGCGAATCCAGCAGCGCTGGGCTACGCTCGGTGGCTGAGGGGAGCTGCGAGGCGCGGTTTGGGAAGGTATGGCGCGGCGAAGGGTTTGCTCTTTGCTTGCCCTAGTCTTACGCGCCGCTTTCCACCCGCCGCTGATATGGTAGAGTGGGGGCTTGCGACCCAGAGGGACTTTCGGGGGGGGAACTGGTATACCTACATCATGGCCTGGTTCCTCATTGTATGAAATCTTGTAGCTACGCCGGGTGCGAGCAATGGTGTGTTAAGGACTTTAACGGGTATTAAAGCAGTGAGACAGAAGGCTGTTATTGAAAGCTGTGCTTTCCTGCAGGCGTGGCACATCTTTCACTGGTTCGTAAATACTTCTATAACCCGAAATTTCTCGTTCACTTGCTATGCTGGCCCTTGGGTTTTGCATGTTTTTAGGAACATCTATCTGAATTTCTTAGAGCCGCTCTCAAGCATCTGGCTACACTGTATTGTCTGGGAAATTCATTGTTCCTTGGACTTGTTGCTGATGGATTCTTGTTTCCTGATTTTTACACATAAGAACTCGGTCTGTGTTCGTGCTCGGTAACTGCAAAGTTGTATCAGGAGTTTTAGCACAGTGCCTTTAAAATGTAAAGGCAGGCTACTGGTTGTGTGTGTATGCGTTGCGTGCACAAATTTGCAGGGAACTTGGTTCTTAAATAGATTTATTTTTTCTCCCTGTATTTCATTTATTCATTAGCCCTCCTTTTTTAAGCTGTAAGATAACACAGAAAATGCTTTACAGTTGACTCTTTCTTCTGTTTTTTTGCATGTTGTGGAAATCTGTAAAAAGTTGGGCTTTGCTTATGTTCGTGACAGAAGATGCTCCCAAGACACATCAGCTAGTTTTGAAGACACTGGTAAAAAGCTCAGATGTAGGTGATGTGTGTTACGGAGGTATTTTATGCAAATAATGTTTCCACTTAAATATGACCAGGCCAGCTTCAGTTCCAAGCAGGTCTACAATTCAGTTGTATTGTTGCAATATTAACTGGTTAAGGGAACAGGAAGCAGGTTAAGCTCACTAGGGAAAACAGCAACTCAAGCATATTTTTGCCCCTTTCCCACCTTGGAGATATATTTTTATGTAGCAGGTGCAGTATGCCCCAAAAGTTCCCCAATTCATCCAATTTCAGACAGGTGGGGAGTCCTGAAATCCTCAGAGAAGCTGTTTTCAATTTATCCCTTGATCTCAGAAGCTAACCCTACCTCTCTCCTGGTGCCACAGCTCGTCCCGGACAACCAGTATGTCACACTTCTGGTGGATTAATGCCTTTCTAACTTCCGTCATGCAATTTTTTTCCCACCTTGACCAGAGCACTTTCTGTGTTGTGTAATGAGACCTGTCAAAATGCGCCATCTGCCCCCAGAACTATGTTTTTCTCCCATGACAAAGCTACCGTTAATGTTTGCACCCCGGAGACGTGATATCACTGGAAGATGGTCTGTCATTGAGTCACCCATCTCTTCTTATCTTTCTTCAGGTGAAGCGGATTTTCCCTTCCAAAATGACTTTTCGAGCTCTGGTTTTTTGTCTGGCTTGTGCTGGGCTTGGAAAGGCAAATGGTAAGTTGTATTTCCTAAAATCTGCCTGAAAATGGTTGGGGAACTGGTTTCTGATGCCTGAGGCTTCAACCATCAGAGTAAGAGGCAAAAATAGGTGAAATACAGATTGCTCGTGCCATTTGACATACGTTAGATGGCTGTGGCATAGACATGGAGCTGGCAGATGTGACACAAGACCTCCTGGAGCAGCATTTGGAGATGGGAGGGACATGCAGCATCCTGTATCTACAATGACACTGAACACTGTTGCTCACCTGAGTTCACAACTTCCCATAGCGGATGCTTGCCTTACGAACAAACCTTTCTTTTTCTTTCCCTCCCTATCAAATGCACTGCAAACTCTGAAGCTACATAGTCCAGAAATTCTCTTCAGCTCATTTTGCTGCTCAGTTCTCTGAGGATGGCTTGGTGTGCACTTCCCTTGTGCATTCAATCCTCCTCTAGCTTTTAGGAGATGAAAATTGAGTCTTTGCTGAGAACGGGAAGCCATGAGCTGATTTAATAAAAGTGAAGTGGGAAGTCTGCAGGGATGGGTACAGAAGTATGGTATGTCTTTTTCTTTTAAACATGTAGAAGAAAGCCAGAGCCTCAGCCAATGTAAATCAACATAACTTCATTGATTTCTAGGAGGATGCAGGAGAAGGACGTTTTGGTGGGGCAAAACCATAGAAACAATATGTAATTGATGAAATTGTTGTGTCTGTGGGTAATCCAGGCCTTAGAATCAGTATTAGGCTTCTGAATATGTGTTGTATCTGCCCATTTCACTATTTCATCTCATTGCAGTGGTTTCACAGGCTGAACACAGAAATGTGAAGGTGGGCGACAGTGTGACTCTCAGCTGTGCCCTGACAGAACCCAAGGATGTTCTGCAAGTGACGTGGCAAAAGGACTCTGAAAAATCACACAATAACATAGCTACGTACAGTACCATAAAAGGATTAAAGATTCACGAGCCCTACCAAGACCGAATGAATTTCACGAGCCTGGTGCTCAATGAGACAAGCATCACTTTTTGGGACACTAGAATGGATGATTCGGGGTGTTACACGTGTCTCTTCAATACTTTCCCTTTTGGCTCCTTCTCAGGACGTACCTGCCTGAGTGTTTCTGGTGAGGTTCTCTGCAGGGATATGTCGCTAGTGGAAAAAGAGGTGTTTTCTCACCCACAGCATTTCCTCGAGCAGACTCAGGAACTGCAGTGGTAAAAAGCAAGGAGTGGGATCTTTGCTTGTAAGCCCCCGAGCAGTCCTAGCTGGAACTTGGGCAAACCACCATTGCCTGTTGCAGTTTCCTCTTGGTGCCAGGTACAACCCCAGTGCTGTGAGCTGCTGTGCTGAACCCTACCATTGATAGGGAATTAGCAGGTAGGAGAACAGCACGGACCAAGAAATGAGTTTACTTTAACAGATTATTTTAAAACCTGGGATTTCAGGTTGAGTGAAACATTTGGGGTGTGTAACGTCAGTATAAGGGAAGGAGTATTGAATCATGGGGGGGACGTGACCCAGTGAACTCCTCTTGCATTCCTGTGCCATGGGGCTCAGTGCGAATCCAGAAAGCTTTGCTCTGGTAATGGCTAAACTGCTATTATTGCTTATGACCAGGTGCTCGTTGTGGTGATGGATTGTCTCATTTGTGTGTTGGAAGGTCTCAATGCATCTGTCCATTACAACATTTCTGAAGGTCATCTGATAGCCACCTGTAATGCTGTTGGCCTCCCAGAGCCCACCGTCACCTGGAACAACTTGTTCAATTCTACTCCTACACAGGAGACAGTCAGGTACACCAATGGGGTGGTGTCCATCACCAGTAAACTGGAGATCAACAACACTCGGACCATCAGTGTGCAGGACTTGACCTGCAGAGTAAACAACGTGAATGAAAAAATAGAATTGCCTGTGAAAATTAAAGGAGGTGGGTGAACTATACAAGCTACTTGGTAGCGTTCTCTTGGCCTCTGTGTTTTGCAATAGCATGTTTGGATAGGAATGTGCTGGGAAGAGGAGGGAGTGAAATGTTTATGTGCCAAGTAACAAGAAAGGAAATCCTACTTTGTTTTCATTGCTGTCTTTGAGACAATAACATATTGAGGTCCTCTCTAAGAGGGGAAAAAAGCCAAACTAGTCAGCTAGGGAGCTAGTGAGTTTTAGAGGCACCGTGCATTTTGCAGCAAGTCGGACTTCAGTTTTCACGCAGGCCTTCATAGTTTCTTTGACAGTCCAAAGATAGGTATAAATATTTGTCACCTGGTATCTATCTAGATGAAGTAAAAATTCTGTGGGTCACTTAATGAACACTGGAGTGGAAGTTTTGAAATTAATAGTAAACTATCTCTGAAAAAACAATTAACCAAACATTTCAGTTAAACTTACTACATGTTTTGGTACAGTTAACCTGTGTGTTATGTTTTAGTTTCTCTGACACTTTTGCCAAGACACACGTGCGTTGCAGTAATGGTCAGGGAGCAATAGTACTTTCAAGCAGACAGGAAGGTGATCAGTTGAAGATACATTGGTTTTATGGGGAAAACTTAAATACATCAGCATAACATCTGAATACCCTGTAGTGCTAATTTATTTCTTCCAATATTCTGTTCTGCTGGAAAGACTTTCACCCCAGCTCTATAGATAAGAAATAGAAACATTAGAAGCTGAGGTACCATTCTCAGTTCACACAGGAGCATTGACTTAGGTGATTTAAAATTCTCATGTCTCCAAATCCAGAGCCTTAAAAGGAAGACCACTTCAAAATTAGGAAGACAAGAAAAGCAGCTTGGGATTGTGGGTTAATTCCCAAATTACGTGCTCAAGAAGTGATTATTATGGGAATGGTAGTAAAGAGTAAGATCTGACTTTTAGTATCTTCTCTCTAGAAGTTCAAAAGCAAATTAGTTCTTAATTCTGAATGACACTAATTGAAAAGCATAATAAATCTTTTTGTCCTGTCTCAAATGCAATATTCTTTTGGGTTGGCCTTTTAAAAAGGAAATGTGTGTCTCAGCAGGAAACCAAGACTTGTTATTTCTTGCTAGGAGAATGAAAAATCAGCTAATCGCTTGTTGTTTTAACAATCATATTTTAGAGAAAGAGAAATTCAAATGAATAGTTCAACCAAGCTTTGTTAAAGGACATGATAGTTTTGGCTTGATTCAAATAAATTTTAATTCAGAAAGCTTTCCAGCTAACATCAGTGAGCATTGAAATGAGCCTTCATATTATCATTTTGATTAATGGCAGTCAAATGAAGTGGCTAGTGTCTAACCAGGGAGGGACATTATGCTCAGAAGTTGGGTAGAGTTACTTGCAGGCATCAAAAAACGGCCCGTTGTCTTTTCTGAAGGTTAATCACTGCCTTTGTGACAGTGATAAGTGTTTAATAGTAAAAGGAATAACTTTTATTTTACAAACAAAAACCTCAAATTCTGGATGAACAAGAAAACTCTTCAGAAAGGGTGAAGACTTGTATAAAGTTCTGCTTATGTATGTATGCCAACTACCATATCAGGTATGGGAATGACAGTTTTCTTTGCCGTGGATGAACATGAACACATCTTTTCTTCACAAAGCATTTTCTGTAGGCAAGTAAGTTTGTTTTTGAAAGTACATATGTTCACTCTCTCTTTTGAGCAATTGCTGCTTTCATGTAGCTTAGCAGTAACTTTCACAATCTTGATGAGGAACAATTGTTGTTAATCAGACATCCTCTTGGCTCTTTTTCCTATATAAACTAGCTTAGTTTGGTGTATTTTTTGTTGTTTTCTTTTCACAGAGGAGGGGTCCTCATTGCTTTTGCTGATGATTACTGTGCCTCTCTTAATTCTCATCACAGTTATAATTCTGATTATGCTGTGCCGGAGGAAGAGGATATGCAGGAGGGGTTGAAGTGGTGAGTCACTGATGCATGGAAACCAACGGTTTTCATAGAGCCATAATAAGAGAGAAGAGTTGAGACTTTGTTGAGATACCGTTAGGGGGTATGAGACTCATATTGGACAAGTAAGCTTTATAATAACATGTTTGCAGTTATTAAAGGTTGCCTCAGTTGCATGTAATTTTAAGAGCTGTTTTCCCACTGCTACAATACAGGACTACAAATTGCGAGGGGAGAATCCAAGTAGAGTACGACATGCTGCTCGTGGTTTGCTTTCAGGCAGAACTGTCAGCAGAAGCAATTCGCTGGTCTTTTGCATTTTCCTGGAGGGCCACAAAAGTGTTGAGTGTAAGCATGCTCAGAGAAGTTTTGGCAGAAGAGGTATGGTGGAGAGAAACCCATTCATACAGAGTGACATGCCCTCAAGGGAACGCTTTCTTCTGGTCACAGCACCTTCTTTGTATTTTTAAGACAAACAGTGTAATATGATGGAAAAGTGCGTTCAAACTCACCATATGAGTCTTCTTCCTAATGATGGGTGCTTTTACTCTGCTTAACTAGGTCAAAGTGCTGTGTCTGGCTTTAAATTCTACTATATGTTCAGAAACACCAGCACACATCAACTCGGTTCCTGAATATTTAGATACTTGCTTTATGATGATAATGTGATATAAGGTAAGGAAGTGTTTCCAGGAGTATAAGACCTATCTATTGTGAACTTAGACCTACAGCATCTACTGTTAAGAGGGGTTGATCTCGTAAATCTCCTACTGCCAGAGACATAAAAGTCTTTACTGAGAAGAAAGAGAACTGAACACTTCTTACAGCCTGAATACAACTTCTTAATTGTAAAACGTATGTGAGCTTTCCATTGATCCTATAAACAATTCAGAAGAGAAAATTTCTGTTGAATTTTCAGGCCAACCTGGAAGTTAAAGGGCAAGAACTTGGTTCTTAATTGGTTTTGGTTTTTTTTTTTCTTTAAAGGATCAGAAGAAAAAGGTGAAATGCTCAAAAGAAAGATGTGTCTTTATTCTAGAACAACCATTCCAAACACAAATGAGCTTGTACTAAGCAATCTTGAAGGAGAGACTTTGAGGCAGAGGTGACCTAGCAGAGGTCTGGGATCACTCGCTAGAGCAGATCAGAGGGTGAGCAGGCAATGAGAGTGCTGAAAAGTGCAGGTGCTGCCTTGCAGAGTTTTGAAGCCCCTTCATTGCATCCCAGATGAGGAGAACCACACTGGGATGCTGTGACTGCACTAGCGCCTGAAGCAGGAGCAGGGTCAGTCTGTGAAACATTGCTTGACAAGACTAGGTTGTTCATGTTTAGACTAGGCTGAGGATGTTAACATATCTCTTGGCATGGTTCTTGCACTTGGATATTAGTAGTTACTGAGGAAATGCCTGCATGTGTTTCCAGAGGTAGCTTGCAACAGGACCGTCCCCAGCAGGCAGTACGGTTAGCTTCACAGCAGGTTTCCTGTGCCCTGTACCACCCGCTAGGTATCAAGCTTGGAACCCTCAAGCCATTTCATGCATCCTTGTGCCATGTCATGGGTCATGCAAGACATGATTTCTTGCTGCAGAGACACTCCTGTGATGTACAACAACAGAGCTTACGCATTAGTTTGGACACTTTGAACAGAGCCCCCTTCCCCTGCTTTGTACGTAAAGCATAAGACACAGAAAAGCATGATATATTTGAACTGAAAGCACTGTGCCCCTTCTTCCTTAGCTAATGGCTCAGAGCTTGAAGCCCCTCTATGTCAGCAAGAGAAGTGGGGTCTCGTGCCCCACTGCCTGGGAGGACATCTGGATTCCCAGCCCCACACATGTGCCGGTGTGTCACAGGGTCGAGACTTCAAGTAAATACCTGTTCAGCAGGGCAGAAGGGCTAAATTAGACGAGCAGTGTTTAGCAGTGGGTGTAAGTTGGTTGTATTAGAGTATATCAACAAAAGCAGGATTTGAGGGACTTTGTGTTTCTTCCCATTTATTGTGGGTTTTGATTAACTGTGATGCCAGGATGTGACTTCTGCAGAGGACTTGTAAGTCACTCAGTCTCTGTTCTTTTAATGTAGTCTGGTTTTTATCAGTCTTAGTCTGTATCTTTTCAGTTGCTTTTCGGTCTTCAGTTTTGAAAATGTAACGTGCTGACCTGGATCCTTTTCGCATAAAGGCAGCATTATTTTATCCAGAGTAATTTTGACCAGCTCATCCTATTCCTTCATACAGTGACCAGCTTAGGAAAGTGTGTTTTTCTGTCTTCCTAATGCACATCTGTTTTCCTGAAGGCCTCATTAATTAGTTTGTTGTAAAATTCCAGTACTGGTGCAGTTTGATCGCTCTGTCACCATCTGATTTCCCCCACCACCACCCACCCCGGATGCTCTGCCTGTTGCTGAAAGTTACTTAAAATTATCCACTGTCACTTTCCTGGCCAAATCCTTAGAATACCAAAAACACTTGTGGAGCTACAGTTATTTTTAACACTGTGTTTAGAGTGCATTACCAGTCCACGAATACCCTGTTGTAAAGAGGAAATCCCCTACACTTCCTTAGCTCCCATCTGAGCAGCACACTGTGGACCCCAGTCTGTTTTTGCGGTGACTTGTTTTTTCCCCAATCATCTGTGAAATCTCTTTATGCTCTTTAAGGCATTGGTTGCAGTTGATTCACCCAAAAGAGAATAACATCTTGCAGAAAGCCCTTTTCTGGTTTTATCCTCTGTTATCCTCCAGTTGTGTTGGAACGAGGAGCAGCACCTACGTACATATTTCTGGACGCGCTTTTTATAACAGCTCATTAGAGAGCTAATGGTGCTGGCTGGAGGATACCAATGTCTGTCTGAGGTCATTACCTCAGGCTTCAATACTTCTTTTCATTCTGCACTAGATAACAAGCAAAGCCTTTCCAGTCTTGTCAAGATGCCTGGTTTTTAAAGTAAAACAACAGCTTTTTATCTGGGTGGCTGGGGACCCTTCTCCGTCAAAGTTTCTTCTCTTCTGCTGTTGAGAGGATGGTTGGGTTTTGCTTTGGTTTTATTTTTGTTGTTTCCCTCCTCTCTGTGGTAGCTGCTTGGGAATCAGGTGAAGAGCTGGGGCTCAAAGTTGATGTCTCATCCCTCAGGCATTTGCCTTGTGTACCAGTTACAGAGCATACATACGTTTTGGTTCTCCCTGAAAACATCCGAAGTAAAACGTCTTCACAATGTTTGGCAGAAAGTCACTTGTTTGGAAACAGACTGAGCAGCCTTTGTAGCAAGAGCTGATGCAAAAGCTTTGGAAAACTCACATCTTCATCCTCTGCCAAGCAGAGGCAAACCTAGCCGTGCCTATCACTCTATTTAAGTGGGATGAGCAGGCTGCAATGATTCGCCAGACATAACTTCATCTATGCTGGAGGTTTCTCAGTGCTACTCTTGTGGTAAAAAGTTACACCATTTCCTGCCTGGGTCAGCTAGCAGAGCTTAACTGTAGGCTACACCAATGTAAAGCAGTCCAGTTAACAAGCCTGGATTGAAGCAAAGTAAAGGCTATTATTCTGAATAAATTCCTGTGACTTACCTATTGCATACATGTATCAACCTGAATGCTTTCGACAGCGTCAGTTGTTTGTTTCAAGCCTTGCAGGGTACTCACATTTCAGCTTGGCCAGTTAAAAAGCTTTATAGTCAGTTCTTAGGACTTAGCAGTCTGCAGGGTGATAAAATTACACGCAAACAGTTTTCTGGAGGCTTGTGGTGGTCTGTGAGGAAGGGCTATTTCACAAAGGGATATAAAGGCCAGCATGATTTTATTTTTTTATTTTTTTTTTTTTTTTTTAATTTTTAAAGCATTGGTATGTTGATCTCTCTTGGGTAGCTTATGCATGTTTTCCTATGTGGAAAGTTTAGAAATGGTCAAATAGTATATTTGTGTTTAAAAAGCTGTAACAGCTGGACAAAAAAATTCTTGGAGCTTGTTATTGAAGAGATACGATGTGACCTAAGAAAGCTGAGCGAATTAGGTAAACCTGGAAGAGGAAAACTTGAAAGAGTCATAGAAGAACAGACTAGGACAGATCAAAAAATCCATTCCACAGAAAGTGCCAACATAGCAATGGGTGTTTCCTGTTTGGAAATTGAAACATTCAGGTTTTCCTGCAAGTGGAAATTTTACAGAACTTAGATTAAGCAGCATTAAAGTCTTTGTTTCAAGAGGTTTGTGTCTGTATACAGCCAACTAACTGTATTTCAAAGAGATGCTGAACCTCAGTGTACCTCAAATGTTACACAAGTGCTATAAAATACATTGAAAATACCTCTTTGTTACCAGCTAGAGATCATTTAATACCCTGAATAGGAATTTAAGACACCCTGATTATTATTTTTTGAAGTTTGGAAGTTGCTACAAATAATATAGATTCAGGTCTGTTAAGCTGTTATAGCAGCTTAGCTGATCAGCTATAGTACGTGGGTATCAGAAACCTAAATTTTTGTGGCCAAAGATGTCCTGAAACGTTGGGAAATATGGAAGTCCCGTACAGGAGATTCCAGGTATTTGGGAAACTTTACAAAAACAAGTACTTGCACACACTTTCCATTGCTTTGTTTATAGTAAAGTTCAAAATTATTTCTGGAAGAGCATTATAACAGTATTCTCTAGTGTTTATTCAGTTTGGGGAAGGCTGTGTTTCTAAAATTTGGCTTAAAAATTGTGACCATTCTTCTTTTATCTGTATGACTTGGCTTGTTTTTGCAGTGTATTTGCTTTGACATGCAGCTGTTTTTCTTAATAGTGAGAGACTAGGTAGTTGAGAACAACATAGTAGATGCTTGGTTTTAGGAGACTTTTCAGAATAATTTTTCCTGAAGTGACAGCTAAATACCAGTCTTTCAGATGATAAACTGGGGACATAACTCCCTCTTTCATAAGGCAGATGGATATAATGCACCCTTCTCACAGAGGAATGGGTCTCTGGTTGTCGTGTCCCAGCTGGGGAAGCTCATTTTAGAATTGTCCTGGTTTC